CCCACCATGGCTGGGACTGGCTGGGCACCTGGGCAAGCAGAGAGAGCCCAGAAGGCGGGGCCCTGCTGAGTGGTGGTGCTGGGTGTGGGGTGGAGGCAGCTGGGATAGGGCCTCCAAGTAGGAGCAGGAGCTGGCCTCTCCTGGGGGGACCCAGGCGAGTTATTGCCCTCTTTGGGCCTCTGTTTCCTCATCTGGAAAAATATAAGGGTGGTGAGCCTGTTGTGCAGGCCTTACAGAGTCATGATGAGGTTCCAAGGAAGAAAGGAATCTGAGGGTGCTTGTGCCTGGCCCTTGTTCAGAGGGATGACGGCAAGAACAATGATGACAGCTGTATGGCACTAAGCCCTTAGGAGACCCTGTGAGGTAGGCATGGTTCCCATGGCACCTTCCGGATAAGGAACAGTCCCAGGGAGGCCGGGCTGCATGCCCAAGATGACACAGTGAGTGACTGTTGGAGCTGAGAGGATCTAGAATCAGAGCCCTCTGGAGGTGGTTTTAGCATTGTACCATCTGACTGAGGCCAATTATCCTGGGTCCAATGTTGGGGGAACTGGGGTGTAACCAGGGGAGGGGAGAATAGTTTCACTGACCTTGTCCTTGACCCTGGCAGCTGAGGACCTCCAAGTTAGCCAACCTGGGGAGGAACTCCCAGAGAGCCCAGATGAGGCAGAAGCAGGTGAGCGTGCCTGTGGCAGGGAGGGGATCCAGGGAGTCAGAGGACAGGGTCCTTCCTCCCAGCTGGGGGCCTCCACAGCAAGAAAAAATGGTGCACAATCGGGGCCCTCACTTTGGGAAAGTGTGAGGATGTGGAAGTCAGAGACACCCTGGGCAGGACATGCCCTAGTCCATCCTTAGCATCTTAGATTTCTTGGGTTTGACAAACAGAGGAAAAGGAGACCCATCCCAATGGAGGGTGCAGGTAGAGACTAGAATCAAGGACCAATTCGTGGAGGAAGGTGTGTTTGTATCTACTCTGAACACAGATTTAGCCTGCACAGGATTGGAAGGGAGGAGAGGGCCCCTTAAGAGAAAAGCCCCAGAGATCAACCCCTGTTCCCTCCCCTCCTCCCCCTTCATCATCTTCCACCAAGGCCCTGTCAGCATCCCATCCTTCCCTCTGGCTCCAGGAGATCAAAGTCCTCCAGGAGTCTCCGGCTGCAGATAGTTATCACCTTCAGTCTGAGGAGGAATTTGGGGTCTGTTTCCACTCCGCAGAGCAGCTCACAGTGAAAGGCGAGGGCCTATCAGATTGGCAGAGGGGAGGAGGAGACCCTCTTTTGTGGCCAGCTGCAAAGACCCTGTGGCTATGGCTCTCTGGCCAGTATCAGGCTGTGCTGCATAGTGACTGCTGGGGCACCAGGACTCCAGCTGCCGGGCAGGCACTGGGAGGGACACCTGAGGTGCGGCTCCTGGTAGCATTACAGCTTCCTCTCTGTCCTACAGCTACTACCTGTCCTGCAGGCTGAAGCCCCTATTTCAGTAGGCCAGGAATAGCCTCAAGGCCCATGAGAACAGGCCATGATAAACCTCAGGGGTGACTCAATGCCTTGGTGGCAGAGGCAGAGTGCATCAGGTCTCAGTGAAGTTTGCGCCAAGTGTGGGCTCTGGGAGTCAGACGGTCCGTTGGCTCCCACCTACACCATTCCCCAGCCCTGTGACTGGGGGCAAGGGCCTCACTGCTCTGGTGTTTGTGGCACCATTGTCAAAAATTTAATGTGCACTTCCAACCTCTTTTTCTCTTTTATCTCTACTTATCTATAACTGCAACGTACTACTGTCTGTTAGTGTTTTTATTCAATTTAATGAATATATGTCATACATTATGTATCATTCTTCTTCATGATTTCTTTGCTATATTGTATGATTCCACTTAGGTGAGTTACTTAAATTCACAGAAACACAAAGTAGAAGCAGGGTTTCCAGAAGCAGGGTGAAGACAAGGAGCTGTTGTTTAATGGGTACCAGAGTTTCAGTTTTGCAAGATTAAAAAAGTTCCCTATGTGTGGGGATGTTGGTTGCAAAACAATGTGAATGTACTTAATCCCTCTGAACTGCACATTTAAAAAAGGGTTAAAATGGTTAATTTTATTATTTACCACAATGTAAAAAATGCTTTTTAAAAATGGTATTTTCACTATAGCTATCTTCAACAGCATGGATGAATATCACAAATATAATGTTGTATAAAAGAAAGTAAATGTAAAAGTATACATACTATATAATCTCATTTACATAAAATACAAAAAGTAAAACTGAGGTTCTGGCTTTCAGTAATGGTGGGGTGGCTTGTTAAACTACCACTCTCACAGATAACAATGATAAAACATTGATATTATACATCATTATGTAGAAACACACATCTATCTTTAATACATGCATATGTATATGAAAGAACTTAATGAGGATTTCAGCTGTGATCACCGGAGGGGGAACAGGTTTTAGAATATGAATCCAGCCAAATTAACCACCTCTTCAAAAAATAACAATACTCTTCAAAGGAATACAACAGAACCCAGATAACTATCATTTTTAGTTTCCAGTACACCATTTAAAAATTCATGAGACATGTGAAGAAACATGAAAATGTAATCCACACAAAACATAAAAGGCAGGAAGCAGAAGTTACACATAAGATGTCTAACACGTTGTAATCAGCAGACAAGGATTTGAAAGTAGCTATTATAAATATGTTCATGGAAGTAAAATATTCTCATCATGAGTGAAAAGATGTGGAACCTCAATAGAGAAATGAGATTATAGAAAAGAATGGAATAGAAAGATAAAGAAATAAAAAAATTACTTTTGAGCTTATCCACAGATCAGAAACAGAAAACAAAGCAATTTAAATTATCCAATCTGAAGAAAAGAGTGAAAAAAGTTTGAAAAAAATGAAAAGAGCCTTAGAGACCTGTGGAATGATTTAGTCTAAGAAAGAGAGGGTAAAGACAGAAAAATTAAATGGAGTTCAAAAGTAAACCAACTAATTGCTGAAAATTTCCAAAAATTGGTTAAAAACCTAAATTTTTATATCCAAAAGTCAACAACCTCTCAAAAAATACAAAAAAAAAAAAAAAAAAAACTTATCAAGGCCATACTGTGATTTAGAAAACCGTCAAGGCATGGTTTTCTATTGACCTGCTACGATTTCTAATTTTTACTATTTATAATAATGCAAAATAGGTGGAAAATCCTTAGACTGTTTTCTTGGACAAAGTCTTACAAGTCAGGCACAGAATACTGAGAGTTATTTAAGGCAGATGCCTTTCCATCCTTCTTTCCAAGTTTTAATTTCTTATCATGGAAATCACTTAAATTTGCTTCTTTCAAATCTTGCAGTAAAATTGATGCTCCAGAAAGACGTGCCATGGATATTCTGCTCTTGTGTATCCTCCCTGCACAGACTGAGGCTGTAACTTCTTCAGTTTCGGAAATGTGGAGTAGTGTAATGCTAAAAAACTAAGTGGAAAAATAAGAGAATTATCACTGTGAAGTTCCAACAGCAAAGTAGTAAAGTGGTTCTAAAGGTATATTTAAAAAGGGATATAAAAAGTTTCCAAGGGAGCCTTATTCAGGGCAGAAATGCATACATTTTATATTACCTCAGTACAGAAACTTTCCTTATGTTTTAGGAAGGACCAAGGGGCACTTTGGGTCCTGTTGGCCTGTGTTAATTATGACGAAGAAGTCCAGAGGAGGACACACAAGTCCCAAGAATCAGCCTGGCTAGGAGTCACAGAAGTGGTGGATGTGGGCCTCCACAGCAGCTGGGGACGGGGAGACGCCTTCCCTAAGGGGCTGTTTCCTGACTGTATGAAGCAGGGGTCAGGCCTTTCCCCGGTGATGTTTTGTCCTCTTTGTAACAGTGGCAGGATGTCCCTCTGAGAGGCTTGACCCAGGTGTGGGCCATGTAGCTAACCCAGAAGTCCAAACAATGTTCCTGGTGTGTAGAGATGGGTCCGTGACCACCCAGAAGGTTAGAGGAAAAGGTGGCTTTGAATAGGCAAGTGCCAGGTTACCAGGGACTGGCTATTTTCATTTTAAGCAGTGAACTGATGGCTCGAGACACCCACCAGAGAGCCTCCTGCCTGGGCTCCCAAGAAGCCTAAGAACTGATAGGCCCACGGCCGTTCGGCCCAAACCAACGGAAGGTCATGGTGGAGCGGGAAGGGTGGAAATAGGTGAGATGTAGGATAAATGGTAAAGAGCAGGAAAGGCAGGCATAAACATGGCAAACCTGAGCAGGCTTGAGAGGACCCTGGTCTCTTGCTGGTCTGTGAAGAATCCAACTTCAGGCAAGACAAGTCAGAAGCCGACGTCTCCTGGAGATACGGCGTCACAATGTCACCCTGACCACGCTCACTCCCGGCAGGCAGGAGAGTTTCGAAACAGCCAGAGCCCACTGAAAAATTAAAACTGCTCGGCACGTGCAGTATGGGGCAAGCGGAAGGCGGGCCCTTCGCGAGGCGTGCTGGGAGTCTCTTACTCGCTCTCAGCCCTTTGGTGGCAGGGCCGCTCAACTCTACTCCCAGCATGCCCTGGGCTCGGGGACGGTACGCAGGTCTAGAGGGAGTGGTAGGGAGGTGCTTGCCTCACCCGGCATGCTGGGAAGTGTGTTCTCTTGACCACCCCCACTTCGTTTGTCTCAAGGGTGCAGGACAACAACCTCAGCACGCACCGGGCTCGAGGGCAGTGCGCCACCGTGGGGATCGGGGCAGGGCGAAGCGCTTCTCGTCGGGCCTGCTGGGAGTTGTAGTCTCTTAACCTCTCCCAGCCTTCTGCTTGCCGGGCTGCAGAACTATAATCCCAGTATGCATCGTGCTCAGGGGAGGTGCGCAGCCTTGGTGAGAGAGGCCGGGTATGTATGGGCCTCGCTTGGCATGCTGGGAGTTGTAGTGTCTTAACGACTACCAGCCTGTTGGTTGTAGTACTGCAGAAATACAATCCCAGCATGCACCGGGTTCGGAGGCAATGCGCAGCCATAGAAGGAGGGGACGGGTGGTGAGCGCCTCGCCATTCCCGAAATCTTCTGGCCGCTGGCTCTTTGCCGCCAGATCTGGACACAAGTGAGTCCGAAGAGGGACCTGAGGGGCAGGGTCTTTCCAGAGCATCCGCCTCCTCCAGCCCAAGGAGTCGCCTGCTTTTCTTAAATTGCTTTGGGAACTGGCCTGATGCTCGAGACACAGTCCATTGTGCCGTTGCTCCCTAGTTTCTCCATCCGGAACACCAATTGGAAGGCTTTTAAAAGAAATCCTCCACCTGGCCAGCCTATAAACAACTTCAGAGCTTTGCAGGGGGTGAGGTGGGCTGTGCCTTTGCGGAAATGTCAGCCTCATTGGTGCCTTGTACATAATTCACTACACAAACTGCCTGGTCAATTTGCCTTGCTTTCTTTTATTCAGAGAACATAATTAATGTTTTTAATATTTATGGGGATTATTATTTGATATATGGAGAAATTAATTTTATCACTGGTAAAGACACTTATGAAGAAGCTGGACTCCAAGATCATCCATTTAGTAAATATTACCCTTGCTCCATTAGTTTCTAACAAGTCAGTCAGTGTGGCCATAGCAATTTAAATTTAAACGTTTGTATTACTTCTACTCTCTCTGTTCAGAAAAAGTATGACTTTTTTGTGTTTTCGAAACTGGCGACTGGAGGGGTTTTCAGTTGGGCTTTAGAGAGGATAAGACATTGCTGCTGTGTCTATTTCTCTTCAGCTATTGGCTGCATGTGATAAAGATCATGGAATTGGACATGGTTCGTTTGAGATACTATATATAATACACAGCATAGTTTTTATATCTATCTCATAGGGCCAAAAATTCAGAGTTATGAATTCAAGATAGGGGTCTAAAATTTTGATTCTTAAAAAAGAAATTTCTTTAATAGCCTGAATTCTTTATAATTTCTATAGAAATCCACCCATGGGTGAAGAGAGGTGATTCTGCTAACAGTGTCTGGTTTGGACATCAACAGTGAAGGCTGCCACATCCATAGGTGGATTAGAGTTGACCTCCTGAGGACCTCTGACGTTGGTCTTTGACCTAGAAAAAATACGAATTTAAAACATTTGGTGTTATTATATCTCAGTGCTAAAATACCCATTAAAAGGAGAGTTTGATTCGGTGAACCAAAGGGAGTGTAAACAGAGCAAAATATTTTTTACCATCTGTCAAATTTTAAAAAATTCATATTCTTTTTAATATAACACTTTTTCACAGTTCAAGCTTTGTGTATATGAATAAAATACTTATTCCTCTTTCCATTTTTAAGTTGTTTCCAATGATTTGATGAGATTATCCTTTAACCTGGATGCTAAGAAGTGTGAAAGAACATTTTGGTTCATCAAAGAAAAGAACTTTCTTTAAAATACTTTAACACACTGAAATGAAAAGCACTGGGGTGTGTTTGGATGGAAGACTGTGACCTACAGCCGGAACTCTCATCTTCAGAATTCACCTTCATGTATCTTTAGTATCTCATTATCATTCCCTCCTTCTGGGCAGGGGATTGTCTGTTCCTAGAATCATAGGATATAACTGAATTGTAGATGGTAAAGGAAATTTGATGTTATATTTTTTGATTTTCAGAGGAAGAGCCAGCAATGATATCTCCAGATGCTGACAAGCTTGTAGGACTTACAGAGGACTGTTCACAAGGCCAACCAGAGGCCTAAGAGCCAACCCTGTCCAAGTCCTTAGGAGAGGCTCTGCAGTAGACCCTGCGCCAGAACTGGGAGGAACATGTTTCTTCAGGTATGTCACTTCTATATTTGTCTTCATTGTCCTTAAGTGACTATGTCAGCTATTCCAGCCCATCACACTGTGCCTTGAGCAAAGTAGATTTGTGGACAGACCTGTGTCCATGATTCTCTCTTCACAAGAGTAAAAATGACTTCACACTCTGAGTGTGACCCTGGCTCTCTCTCCTATTTGCTCTTTCACAACTCATGCACAGAGCAGTAGTGCTGAGGAACTCTGCTGGCCTTGTCTGGAATGGGCATGGCCCCTGAGGAGAGGGCAAGTCAAGAGCCAGAGGTCCAGGGAGAGGATCTTGGTGACCTAACTCAGCCCTAACAGTGTCTGTTCTCCCGAGCTCTTCCCTGTGCACCAGGCAATCTCCCACTCCCAGGACCATCTCAGCCTGGCTCTTCCACCTTGCTGTAAGGTTCTGCTCTGGGATCCCCCACAAGTGAAATCTATTGAGGATGCCCAAGACCTGGGATGGGTTCTAGAAATCTTGTATCTTCTATGGTCATCCCCACCCGTGTCTCCTGTCTTTCTCCTGACAGACCTCTACTCCCCAGCAGCAGTGGTTGACCTCTGCTGACTCTGAACCAGGCCCTGAACTTAAAGACAATTTGAACTTTGATCCATATCGCACCGGAGAGACAGGAAAATGTCACATTTCCATATACTCATGACTCTTTCCCTTCCCCAAACCCACTGTCATGAAGATAAAATATGAGCTTGAATGAGATGACCCTCATCTCTTTCTTCCTGGTGGCAGCAGCTTGGGTGGGAGCCAGAATTATAGAAAAAGAACGAGGGGCTGTGTGGGGCTCAGCTTCCAGGGTGACTGGAGTTCTGCCCTCCTTCTCTCCCTTCTCTCTCATTTATTCTTAGTGCGCCAAGACTCCTGGATCATCATGGGGCATTTGCAGATTCAGAGATGACAGGCTTCGAATCCTACCTTCAGTACTTTCTAGCTGGGGGACCATCATCCTTTAACTTAATGTTACCTCATCCCTCCTATTAAATATGAGCTGAAATTACTTTCTTCAGTAGCCAGTTTGAGGAGAATATCCTGTGTATGTGTACATAGCATGGTCCCTCTGTCCCTTAGATCTGCTTCTTCACATTTCTTGGGAGAAGTTATCAATATGAATTTATTTCTCTTCTTTGTAGATCCCAACTTACTCTAGTCTTTCTCTTGAAAAAATTTGTTATTACACACATGCATGACTATATTTGTGAATAACTTAACAGTTACTAATAAGTTGAAAAAATTAGGATTGCAGAGCTCTGACATATGTGACTTTCCCTTGGAGAATCTGAGCTTTGTGAGAACTTAGGTTTCTGGTCACTAGAGGGCACCCTTGAACCTGACCTAAAATAAACATTGGCCAGGAGGAGGCCCATCTGTCTTGAGTATAAACTCTCAGGGAGGGGGATGGCTAGGTAGGACCCATGGGGATTGGCAGTCCACCCATAGGATAGAGACAGGTGTGGGCACAGGCATATCTGCATGGACTTGAGCGTTGCCACCTTGGCTCAGAGGCCCTTCCCCTCTGGTCATTCCCAGTGCAGGTGGAGGCATTGGTGCCCTGAAGGCCACTTAACCTGAGCTCCAGTTTCCAGCCCCTGCCAAGCCTTTCAAAAGCCTCCTTCTGGGCCATCCACAGCCTGGGTTCCCCTCTCTTAACTGGTGAGGCGAGTCTTTTTGCGTGACTAGACGCTGGATACCATCCCCCTCACCACCCCCTAATCCAGCCACCGGGATCCAGGACAACTCCCTACTGTCAGATTGTATGAAGCATCTGAGGACTGAGAACTGAATGTGATTCTGCTCTGCTACAGGCTCAGACCTTCATGATTCACAAAAAATGGCCACCTCTTCCCCATTCTCTTCCCAGAGACCTGGGAGGTGACCCAGGTCTATTGAGTGGGGGCTCTTGATAGAATGATTGAGCAGGGTTCCTTGCTAAACCTGGATTTTACAAAAAAAGTCCACAGATGGGCCTAGTAGAAGATTCAGGAGCCCGACGCAAGTTTGGTCAAGCAGTGGATCTTTGTCACACCTTAACCATTTCTAACCGTGTGCAGCTCAGCTCTGTGGAATCTCTTCAAATTGCTGTGAAATCAATCTCCAGAACTCTTTCCTCTCGCAAAACTGAAACTCCATTCCCGAGGAACGAACAATTATGTATTTTCCCCTCCTCCAGCCTCTGGTAACCACCATTCTACTTTCCATTTCTAAATGGATTTGATTCCTTGTAGAAGTGAAATCATACAATGTTTGTCCTTTTGTGACGGCTTATATCCTTCATACTGTCCTCAAGGTTCATCCGTGCTGTCGCATATGTCAGAATTTCTTTGCTCTTTAAGCTTTGCATTTTACCACAATTTCAAGTTTATAAAAAGGAACTTGGTAGCATGGAAAGTCAATTGATCAGTCATTCTGTTTTAAAAGCTTACAGTGGAAACTTACGAAGCCATATGAAGAAATGGAGCATTGATATCTGCAAAAACATGAGGGAGCCTAGAAAACATTCTACTGAGTGAAAGAAGACAGATACAAAAAGCCACCTACTATAGATTCTATTTCTATGAAATATCTAGATAGTAGATCCTAGAGAAAGGAAGCTGATTGGTAGTTGCCAGAAGATGAGGAAAGGCCAAATGTATATTGACTATAATCTTTAACGGGTTGAGGGGTCTCTTTCCCAGGTGATGGAAATGTTCTGAATTAGAAAATGGTGATGAACACACAACTTCATTGATAGAGTGAAAAAAACCACTGAACTGACACTGCTAAAAGGGAGAATTTTTATGTTATGTGTATCATGTGTCAAAAGTGTGTGGGGGAGAGAGAGACATAGATACAGAGTGTTAACGTGAGGGCATGGGGATTATTCACTCACCTCTGTGGGTATAAATCACAGTCACCCAAATGAGAGCAGAGTTTATGGGGAGCCCGCTGTGTATTGCAAGACTGTCGCTTCCATCACCACCACCAGCACAGCCACGGTTGCTTGCCTCTGGCAGAGGCAAGGGTGGAGGAGAGGGTGAGCTGTATGTGGGCGGAAGGGAAAGGGAGGTCCTGAAGGGAGGGTGTGGGCTGCTCGTGGAAGCTAAAGGTGGGCTGACTAGAGAGAAGCATCCTAGTGGGTGCGGAGGGGGCATATTTGGCCGTCCTCCCCTCTATTGTTCCTAAGCTGGAAGGGTGGATAAAAATGAGGACCGCATCAGTGCAGTCCTGACCATTTGGGGACTAGGGTATAAAGGTGTCAGGCGCTCAGGCTGTCTGGGCTGGTTGCTGCAGAGGTGTTGGGTCAGGACCTCAGCATCCCTGGGGAAGATTCAGAAAATTCCATGGCCAGGAAACTCTCCTTAGTCATCTTCACCCATTTGCAGACAGAGAAACTTTATTCAGTGTCTTTGTAACAATAGCAACAACAGCAACAGCTGCTGCTGCTGCTACTTATACAATCTTTGTATTCATATTCATATTTTTTAAAATTTTATTTATTTATTTTGGAGACAGGGTCTCACTTTGTTGCCTGCGCTAGAGCGCAGTGGTGTCATCATAGATCACAGCAACCTCAAATTCCTGGCCTCAAGCAATCCTCCTGCCTCCGCCTCCAAAAGTGCTAGCATTATAGGTATGAGCCACAGTGCTTGGCCATATTAATACATATATATATATAATTATGATATTTACATTTATAAATAAGTATACTAAAACTGTAATAATTATTCCTATATTTCTAATAATATAAAAATAATTATTACTATTACTACCACTAGTATAAACCTCAGGACTTCTTCCCACACCCAGTAACCCATGCCAGACACAGCACCCCTCACTGGCACGGAGGATCCATCTCAGTTGTCAATTTCTAACTTCTGGTCCTGCCTCCCCTGACCCCCACTGCCACCATCTGCTCCTGTCACCCCACCCCACCGTGGGGGGATCTGGTCCACCCAGGCCATCAGTTGGAGCTGGAGCACACAAAAGCAGCCTGGAAATGCTCTTCCTGAAGGCCAGGCCAGGGACATCTGCCAGAGGATGAGACAGACGGATGGACACATACACACACATACACACACACACACACACACACACACACACACACACACCCCAATGCACACCCTCCGTGAGCCTCCTGCCAGGACTCAAAAATTTCCCTGCTGGGCCCTGGGGAGGCTCAAGGAGGATTTAGAACTTTCCCCAGAAAGAAACCCTCTTTCCTGTCTTCAGTCAAATGGACACACATGGCACCTAAAGAAACTTCACTCTATGCTTTTATTTTTATATTTGTATTTTTTATGTTTTTCATTTTAAACAAAAAGTTTATATAAATGACCAGACAGGAGACCGTGTGGACAGGTTGTAGCCAGCAGGCAAGAGACTGAGTAGACACTGGGCAGCCCTGGGAGCCTCTTGCATATGCCATGGGGCAGATGGGGACATGGGGCACACTGGCAGTCTGTGGGTCCCTCCACCCCTAAACTTTGATGCAGCCTAGGCAGAGAGAAGAGGACTAAAGAAGAGCCCAGCATGGGAGAGAGTGTGATAGGGAGGGGAGAGGAAAACTCTCCAAAGGACAAGGATGGGGTGGGGCGGGGCCAGCTGTTTCCGACATGCTTTTTGGAGCTGGAGCCGGGGATTGGGGAGAGGAGGAAGCTCAGCCTGGCAGCCGGCTGGCTGCTGGGGCTGCTGGGAACATGAGGAGGAAGGGGTGCCCACTGCAGGCAGGGTCTCCCTAAAGCAGGTCAAGGGTTGGGCAGGGGCATAATATGTGCCATCCTCACTAGGGTGTGTGCAGGGTATGGTGACTCATGCAAGGGCAGGTCAGTTTTTACAGGCTGGAGGAACGGTTCTATCACCTCTTCAGCTCTGGGGAGAAAAGTACCTTTTAGGAGATTTGCCCCAAAGTTTGTAGGGACCTCAGTGACAGGGGTATAAATGCACTTTTTGGTTCAAGCATCTGGTGGCACACACCTGTTTCTGTGGCCATCTCTCTTGAGAATGGCTCCAAAACTTCCTTTCCAAATCTTTTCCATCCTGCAGAGGGGCAAATACTGTCATCTGTGTGCAGGCGAAGTGGCCTCAGAACTAGGACACAAAGGTCTCCTATTCCTTGCTTTGTCCCTGGATGGTCCTTCAATCCCTCAAGGGAAGATGTGGAGTGGACACTCTCCTTTTCTGTTTCCTCTCTCAGGCTTCCCATTTGCAGAGAGGCTGAGAGTGTCCAGGAGCAGGTGTCCCTGGAGCTCCCAGCCCTGCTGACCTCTCCAGGTGAGCATCTACTCTTCTGTGCCCACCTTGCAGGTCTGTGGGCTAGTGGGGTGGGAGTGAGACCAGAGGCTCTCCTGGGTGGGCACCTGATCTCCTGGAAATGCCCAGACACAGGACTTATCCACTAGAGGGGCCCAGAGGCATCTGCCCCTCCTCTCCCCAGCTCTCTCCAGTTAAGATACTTATCATACTTCAAAAAAATCAAGACAAGCTAGTCCTTCAGGTAGCTTCCAGGGAGCTCCTACTTTCTCGGGGGCTCAGAATCAAGGTATGAGGATGTGGGGGCCTGCGAGGTTCCTCCTCATGGACGGAGGGGCCCCCCGACTCTCACCCAGTCACTGGGGGCCAGGGAACTGGACCCCCAATCAGTGCACCCCTTCTCCTCCAGTGGAAAGTGCAGAGAGCTCTTGGCTGAGTTCTGTCTGCAACACAGAGTCTTTTAGAGCCCCCTCATCCTCCCTCCTGCTCCCCTGCACCTTGGGAGACCCTGTCGGGATCACGCCCTGCACTGCCAGCTACAGTTCTCCTTGGCAATACCTTGCATTCCCAGAAGAGGGTGCTCTCCTTCTCCCTGCCGCCTGCCCTTCTGGCAATTGCAGGGGTTTGGGGTGGCAACACACGCAAACGCCGCCTCAAATCCTTGGGGAAGGAGAGGCTGATAGGGGTTTGCACGCCCCCTCACACGGGCGGCTTTCCCCTCCTGCTGCGCCCGGGAGGAGCCGCCACTGGAATTCCCGCCAACTCTGGACCTGGCCAAGGAGCCAGGAGCAACTGCAGCGCCCTTTCTTTGACGTCCCAGAGCCTGCCCTGGGCGGAGAGTTGAAGCTGCTGGCACCCCTGAAGCAGCATGACACTCGGTGGCGGATAGTGGCTGGGCCCAGCACCGGGTGGCCCCAAAGAGGACCACGCAGCAGTGGCGCTCACTCAGAAGATGAAGTTAAATCCGAAAAGAAGGGATTTGGTGCACTTGGTGCCTCCTTTGACTTGCATGGTGCAGGCTAGACCGTCCTGGGCCAGACTAGTGTGGGATGGGATCGCTCAGCGGGGACAACAGTACTGGCGCTGGACAGAGGTGCTGGCAGCTGAGGGCTGGCCACTGGCCGCACTTATAAAAAGTGTCACTCTTTATGGCCCTCGAAACGTAGTTGTGCTCACATGCTCTGAAAAGTGGACCCACACCTCTCACCCAATCCAGGTTCCAGCCCTGTGCCCCAACCCTCCCTCCCACGAAGGCCGCCCTTTCCTCTTTCCCCTAGCAGCTTTGTCTTTGTAGATCTCAAAGGAAAACTTCAAGGCATATTCCACTGTTGGGCTAAATTGCAGCAGGAGCAAATGTCTTCTCAGTAAATCTATCTTTATGTCACTTGCTTTCAGAGTAAGAGGTTGTTTCAGCCACAGTAGCTCAATTTAATCTCTGTTGAAAATCATAAATAGCCTACGAATACCAAAAATGGATAAAAATAATTTGCCGACTAGTGGAGTACATCATACACATTTTCAAATTTTTCCTATGATGAGAAATAAAAAATATTAATATAATGTTGAGGCTTGCTTTCCTAAATTCTTATTTATTTATTTTTTTGAGACAGAATCTCACTCTGTTTCCCAGGCTAGAGTGCCGTGGCATCAGCCTAGCTCACAGCAACCTCGAACTCCTGGGCTCAAGCAATCCTCCTGTCTCAGCCTCCCAAGTAGCTGGGACTACAGGTGCACGATACCTGGCTAATTTTTTCTATTTTTAGTAGAGGCGGGGTCTTACTCTTGTTCAGGCTGGTCCGGAACTCCTGAGTTCAAGTGATCCTCCCACCTCGGCCTTCCAGAGTGCTGGGATTACGTGCGTGAGCCACCAAGCCAGGCCGCTTTCCTAAATTCAAGCCCTCAGCCATTTCCCCAAATTATTCAAAGTCCTTCCAAGATGAGTTAGGATAATCTCCTGAAGGGGATTATTCCCAAAGGTGAAGAGTACTAAATAGATAAGAATCTCAAAGGAATCCTGCTTCTATTACAGAAGAATCACCCTCCAAAACCTCAAAGGCCCAGGGAAGCTGCATATGTACTGTTGACTATGGAGCTGCATGGGCTTTGGAGTGAGGCAGAGTTGATCCTGAGTCCCAGCCCAGCTGCTTAGTAGCTGTGTGTCTTTGGACAAGTTCCTTGACTTAGATCAGTTTATATAAACCTTATCTGCAAGAAAAGGCATAATGATGCTAATTTTAAAATGGCTACAATTTTTCATCCCTTCTTCTATTCATGCCTTTTGCAATGTGCTTTTGCAATTGCTTCCATTAAGAGACAGAATCTGTTTCCCAAATTTGGATCTGGCTGGCCTAAGTAGCTCTGGCTAATAGAAAGTTGTGAATGTGAGTCTATTAGTTTGGGGCCTAGCCTCAAAAGACTTTTAATGCTTTTGCTTTTTCTTTCAGCACTCTGCCATCTCCATGAGAACAAGCCCATGTTAGCCTGCCGGAGGATGAGATAGCACAGGGAGGAGAACCAAGTTGCCTCAGTGGACACCCAGCCCACCCCCAGAAGCAGAGCAACCTAGTCAACCAACAGCTGACCACACATGCCTGAAGCACCCCAGCTGAGAACAGAAGAATGGCCCAGCTGAGCCCAGCCTTAATGGCTCACCAGCTCAATTATGAGCTAAATTTTGGGGTGGTTTGTTATGCAGCAATAGCTAACTAACACCCAGTGCAGGTAGGATGCCAGGATTCAATTGTAGGTTGACTACTAGTTACCTGGCAAACTAGGGACCTTTATAGGTACTGAATTTTCTTCCCTGTATTTAAAGTTGGATCTCTTGTTAGATGATGTTGAGTAATAAAGAAATGCATGTGGACAAAGATGCATGTAATTGGTGCTTAAACTTACACAGCCCCCCACACCACAGGAAGAAACAGACAAACACTGCCTGACCATTAGAGCCAGGGCCAAATTGCAGGATAGATTACCTATAATCTATTCCCTCCACATCTAAACTCTGGAGGTCAAGGCTGTGGACAGATTTGAAGACATGGAGTGTCCTCCTCCTGGGGCCTCATGTCCTTTGTTCACTGTGTGATCTCTAGAAAAGGGATGACCTCCTACCAAGCAGCAGGTGAGCACCGGTGGTCTACCCGTGGACACTTCCTGATTGCAGCCCTCTGCTCTCTCTCTCAGGACACCCCCTCTCCACCCTTGGGCCTGAGGAGAGATGTTGATAGGAAAAGGTGTTCCCTCTCCTCTGGCAGAACAGTGGGTGTTCAGGCTCTTCACCTCCCTGAGGTCAGGGGAATCAGAGCCCTCAGACCTGCACTTCAGCATGATAGCTCCTGGCTGCATGGGGTTGTATGTTTACATGTCTTCAGCTTTAGGTGATACTGCCAAAGAGTTTTCCAAAACGTTTGTACCAATTTTCACACCCACCTATGGTGTATGAGTTTCCTGGTATACCCACATCCTTGGCAATGCTTGGTATTTTCTGTCATTTTCACTTTAGTCTACTGATTTCTATATGATTATATAATACATTCTTTACATTTCTCTAATTACTACGAAAGTTGAAGAATCATTTCTTTCATAATTTTTTTTAGTCATTGAAAAACCTTTTTTTTTGAAGACACTTGTTTTATTTTGCTCATCTTCCCATTGTTTTAGATACTTTTTTATTGATTTGTAATAGTTCTTTATATATTCTTCATAGGAGCCTTTTCTTAGTTAACTCTCTATTTTACTCTGTTGCTTTGTCTCTGTCTCTGTCTCTTACTCTGTCTTTCTCTGACATTTGATGAGAAGTTCTTAATTTTAATATAATCTCATTTGTTATTTTCCCTAGTATATCAAGTATCTTTTGTTGTACTTAAGGAATCTTTTCCTATTTTAAGACCACAGAGATGTTCTTTGTTTTCTGTTATAGACATCATGACTTATATTTAAAATTTCTTATTTTGTCACCATTCAGAATTGTTTGTTATCTGGGTATTGATTTAATTTTTTTGAAAGTAAGCTTAAAAAATCAATTTGTTCTGAAAATCTTGTTTTATGATTCTTTTTATTTGCTGTCACCTGTCAATGCTCATTCAAGTTAACATCACCTCACTCTTGGAGCTTATTTCCTGTGAAGACTGTGTAATTTTGTTTTTTTTCCTACATCTTTCAGTTCATAGCAACTCCACAGCACCAAACAGCTAAGGTTAGTTTTTGTGTCAAAAATCTTCAATGAACCTTTTTCCTCAGTGGATAAATTATTTCTATATTTTATTTTATTTTTTGTTTTCTTTAATTTTAAAACAGTACTTGACCAATAAAGATGGAATATATTCTGTGGTGTACAGGATGATGATTCGATGTATGTATACGTTGTATAGTGATTATCACAATTTAATTAACACATCTGCCATGGTTTTGATGTTTGTGTTTCTCCTAAATTCATATAAAAACTTAATTCCCAATGCAATAGTATTAAAATTGGGACCTTTAGAAGGTGTCATGAGGACTCTGCCCTCATCAGTGGGATTAGAAACTTTATAAAGGCCTTGAGGGAGTGAGTTCTGCCCTTTTTGACCTTCTGCCATGTGATGACATAGCATTCAAGGTATTGTCCTGGAAAGAGAGACCAGGCTCTCACCAGAAACCTAAATTGCTACTGACTTGATTTTGGACTTCCCAGCCACCATAACTGAACAATAAATTTATGCTATTTATAAATAATCTAGCCTAAGGTGTTTTGTTATAGCAGCAGGAACAAACTAAGACCACATCCATCACCACCATGCTATACATTAGATAGCCAGAACTTGTTCATCTTACAACTGAAATTCTGTACACATTCATCAACATCTTCCCATTTTTCCTACCCACCAGCCCCTGGAAACCACTATCTACTCTCTATTCCTTAGAGTTCAATATTTTTAGGCTCCATGTATAAGTGAGATCAAATAGTATTTGTCTTTCTGTGTCTGACTTATTTCACTTAGCATAATATCCTCCATATTGTCAAAAATGGCAAGAAGTTCACAGCAAAGGGCCTGTTTTCGGAAGGGGCTGGCCACAATCAAGCTGTATATTGAGCCTGGATCTGCATCTAATGCACAGGCCCTCACTGTCTGCCAGAATTGTGGTTCTTGGTGAAAGTTGATCTGTTTCTCTCATGGTTGGAAAGACCCCTGACAATTCCTGGCCAAATGACTACATTGAACATTTGACAGTTCTCAAGGTATTGGTCATGTCTCACTACTGTTGACACCTTCAGAGTAACAGTTGACTCCAGCTACGTTGTATGTGCCTTAAAATTAATTCATGTCACCTTTTATGCTATTGAGACCACTTCCACTCCAGCCATGTTATGACTTTTATCACTAAATCTACTAAAATGAGCCAACTGTTTTATTTTACCTTTTTTTCTTCCTCTGGGTCCACACATGCTGGCTGGTAATTTGTTGATTAAATGTGGCGGTCCCCAAAAAGGAATTATCTCTCCCTGACTGCCTCCAAGATGAAGATAAAATTGTTGCGGGCTATATGCATCTATTTCCCCAATTTGAGATTCCACACTGACAATTCTCTGATAAAATGTCTTTCTTTTCCTTAACTGCAGCCACAAGCCAACCTGGTTTGTGCACCCTCTGAGTGGCAGCCCAGCCCAAAGAAGGTTATGGGACTCAATTCAGTTCTGGTTAAGTTTTATATAAGGATAACATCCTTTTCCCTTTTTCACTTGGCTTTGCTAGATAAAACATCCAGGAAAAAGTAGGAGGTGACCAGAATAAAGGTGAAATTATAGGTATTGGAAGGGGACAAACTGATTCTGTGGACATAGGACAAGAACCCGAAACCTAGCGAATAAAAAACTTAGACCCCAGGAGCTATAAAAATGGAGGGGCATTAATAACCTCTTGTCTTTCTGCATAACCTCTGGTAAGGCCCAGATAAGAGTCTGGGAATTATGTTGGGCTAGAATGGGGGAAGTATTAGTTAGACCAGATGGCAGAGGCTGTGGGTTCACCTTCTCCTTTTAGTCACCCACATCACCCTTAAGAATCCTCTGGGATTGTTCCATCTCTCTGTGATGCAGGAATGGAATTCTAGTTAGGAGCGTGCACTCTCAGTGCCAAGCTGTCTGAGGCCACAGTTGCTTCAGATGATGGGGAACTATTACTTTTTCCTGAGGAGACTTTGCACCCCATGGCTGAGCTTAAGCTGGATCCACTTTCTCCTTCCTTTGTGAGCTGGGGCTCCTTCTTCTGTTTTTCTGCCACCTAGAGATGAATCATATTTGTCAGTATTTGGGTAAATCAGACATAAATCAGGTTAGGGGACCCTAGACCTAGCCCCAAGCAAAGGCTGACTCTTGCCTCTTTCTTTGACCATTTTACTAAACCAATTATGTTGGCACAGAGAAATACCATAATATGGGATCTCTCGGGAAAGATGAAAACATTGTACATCTAGAGAAGCTGGTGGTACAGGGCAAAGGTACCACTATGAATCAAAGCTTCTGGCCACATTTTCCAGTTTATCTGTATGTGGTAAATGAATCCAGGAAACATCTCAGAGCCTTGGAAAGGATTATTAAGAGAGGGCAGGGTCACTAAAGATCCAAGCACTACGACACATGCTCATCAGTCACCTTCTGAGGGCAAATACCTGAGTTAAGCCTGTGTGGTGGAGGTGCAGAGCAGTGCATGCCTGTGAAAGCCTCTGATGGTAAGTGAAAAGTGAAGCTCTGGCTCAGGGAGAAGTCTATCTGACAGAACGTCATGCTTTTGTGGGTGTGAAAGTCTGTGCTGTTCCACAGCAGAGCACCACTGACTGAATAATTATTTGATGATCATGCATGAATAGGCCTTTTTTAAAATTTCTAAAACAATAAAACAAAATATTTTTATCCACTTTCAAATTGAATATGAATGTGAGTAACTTCAGTGAAAATGTCATACAAGAGAACTCTGGGTCCACCACAGAAACCTGAAGAATCCTGGTATGGTCAGAATTAACCTCATTAAAACATGATTTTTTTTTTTTGCCATATAGATTTATCTTTCATTGGACCTTTATTTTGTTTTAGGTTGTGAAGAATAAATCAATTTTTCCCTTTGTGATAGGAACATCAAATTCCCACATCCCAAGTATCCCCACTGTAGTTTCACTAATTATGAACTTTCTGCTATGGGCTGAATATTTATTTTACCCCTCTACCTATAAATTCATATGAGGACACTTAATTCTCAATGTAATAGTATTAGGTGTGGGGATTTTCAGTAAGTGATTAAATCAGGAGAGCTCTGTCCTCATGTAATTAGTTCCTTTGTAAAGGAGGTTGAAGGGAGTACCCTTGGCCCTTCTTCCATGTGAGGACACAGCAAGAAGGTGCCATCTCTGAGGAACAGGGCCCTCCCCAGACACCAAATTGGCTGATGCCTTGATCTTGGATTTTCCAGACTCCTGAACTGTGAGCAATAAATTACTGTTGTTTATACATTACCCAGTTTAAAGTATTTTTTTTTTCTTTTTTAATAGTAGCCTGAATACACTAATACACTTTCTTTCTTTTTTTTTTAAAGTTCAGAATATTACAAGGGCACACATGTTTTGGTTACATGGATTGCCTTTGTATAGCTTGAGTCAAAGCTGTAAGTGTGCCCATCACACAGATAGTGTACATTGTACCCATTGTGTATGATTTCACTCATCCCTTCCTCCCCACTGCCACTTGCTTGATTTCCATTGAGTTTTACTTCCATCAGTGCACATGAGTGCTGACTGGTTAGTTCCAACGTAATAGTGAGTGCATGTAGTGTTTGTTTTCTCATTCTTGTGATACTTCACTTAGGAGAATGGTTTTCAGTTCATTTCAGATTGTTGCAAAAGGTATTAATTTATTTTTTTTATGGCTCAGTAGAATTCCATGATATACAAATACAACATTTTATTAATCCACTCATGTATTGATGGACACTTGAGTTGTTTCCACATCTTTGCAATTGTGAATTGTGCTGCTATGTAAACATTCGAGTGCAGATGCCTTTTTTATAGAATGTCTTTTTTTCCTTTGGGTAAATATCCAGTAGTGGGACGGATGGATCAAGTGGTAATTCTTCTTTTAGTTCTTTGAGATATCTCCATATTAATTTCCATAGAGGTTGTACTGGTTTGCAGTCCCACCAGCAGTGTATG